GAACGTCGTGATTGTTTACAAAAATATTTCAAATATGTAAATAATTAACTTCCGAATTCCTTTAGCGAGCTTTTTGTGTTTTTTTCTTTATGGTATCCCATTGTACACTCCAAATGTACACAGTAGGCGTAAGTTATTATGTTATTATTTTCTTTTAAACGTCATTATTAAAGATTTACTGCCGTTTAACCTCAGAACTAGTTCAGCGTTACAATTCAGTTATAATTTAAAGGTTGTATGCGTTCTAGTTTTGCACGATAAATTGATACCTCGTGTGGGTGTGTTTCTGGTCTGCGCCTGTGGGTACGATAAACAATAATTAAGATAAATATATTTCTATGTATGCCTGAATCCCGTGTTGACTTTAATCCTCAACACGAGAGTCGATAAACCACGAGGATGTTATTATCTTTGCTTGTATTAACAGAATGTTAATCACAGGGAAAAGGTGATTTTTATACATTCGGCCGGGCTTCTGTTTGTACGGGTCCGGACAACCTCCCAATTCGGATAGAAAATGATAGACCGATCCGCCGCCATTCGCTCATCGAGGGGCCCACGGCTTCAGTTTTGAATAATAACGCCGATAAATCAAATGGGATACACCTTTGGGATTGACGCCGTTATTAAAAAAGCGTGATGAATAGAGGGAGGAGATGAGGCCAGATGACAGAACGATGATTCCTGAGGGAAAACTGCTAAATAGGGCACACCGATCCCGCTGGGTCTTTTTTTGCGAATAGAGCTCTCATGGTGAGACCCACCATCCAATCTTGGATATGAACTCCTGAGGGCGTTATTTACGAAACCGCGCCGCCCTTTTGTGCCGAATGGACACGGTTGAATCGGAGTCGATGACGTGACGCGATTCGGGACGACCTTTCGACACCCTCCTAACTCAAACGTTGATAGCCTCGGGGTGACCGCCACGAATCTAAACGGCCGCCCTTTGCCCTCCCCCGCAAATCCAGTTTCCTCTTTGAGTCTGTTTACCCATCACCTGTCCTTTCAACGTTATCGCAATTTGTAAATTTTTAAACATTTCCAAACTGGAAAAACTCAGTAAAGATGAAGAACCAGTGTTAAAGGTTGTTCTGAATACTTAAGGAAGAAATCGACAAACATGGAAAGAAACAAACTTTTAACTTCAGCTTTTCAACAACACCAGTAAGAATAACAACTAGGTGTAATGTATTCATTTAGCTACTTATTATCTTATCGATCATATTCACTGCCATGTCTTAAGACTTTTTTTCTGCTCACTTTTCAGTATACCCTTAATGCCGTCACTACTGTGCAGGTGCCAGGACGTTCGAAGATTTTATCCTGAGTATCTTATTTTGTAACATCTGGACGATTTTCTCATTTATCTACTCGGTTACACCTAAAAATCGGAGCAACATCAACCATACCTAAAAATTTGCTTGTACAGCAAGATCTGTGTTTGAAGAAAACTTCTTTTAGTTCCAGCACTGTTTATTTTGATTTCATGGAAAGTTTTTCAACTGCTTTGCAGTCATCCTCAAGCTATCAACCATCTTTTCTTTGTAGCCATTCTTTTTTGAAATTTGTTTAATGGTTGATTTTTCTTGTTTAAAGACTTTTTCCTCCATTGGCACTGTCAATACCCTAGGTAGCATTGATCTAAAGGCAGCCATTTTATGATGCCATGGGTGGTGGAGTCTCTGACTGATAAACTGATTGTTTTGTGTGGTGATCTCAACATTTACCTAAAAACTAAATTTATATTTTTTTTTATTTAACTTGTTGTTTGTTTAAATTGTTTAGTAGGCTTCGTCTCGATGGTTCAATTTCTTCAACATGTTCAAAAAACAACATTAATTTTGCCTTCTTCCATAAAGTCGTCTAGATTTTAAAATCTTTTTTGATTAATATGAGCCAAACTATTTTGCATTGCTTGAAGATAAAGAAATGTCGAAAATCATAAGTCAATAAATTTTTGCCTTTTGGCCATAAAAACTTCGAGATAAACATAATTTTCTAGAAATTTCTCTTTCTTGTTCGGCTGTTTTGGTCCAGAACATAGAATCCACCTCTGAAAATGCTGCCGCATAACGTCCAAAAAAGACAAAACTTTTAACTTTTCCTGTAAAACTTAAATATGCTAAACTCTTAACTAACTTAAGCTGAACTGCGTTTTAATCTAAAGTTTGGTCATTTTTAATCAAACTCGTCTGGCCTATTCGTACTTGTTTTGGTCCAGCTCCCAAAGAACCTACCGCTGAAGATGAGAAAATGACGAAAATGTTCTACGAGATGTTTGCCTTTTTCCTTAAAATAAGTTAAACTCTTCCTTGATTAAGTTAAGCCAATCTATACTTTAACCTTTACTTTGGCCGTTTCCAATCAATTAGTCTGGCCTATCTTTGTATCTCGGATTTGGTCAAACATCAAGAAAATCCGCTGCTGGACATGGAAAATTGCCAAAACATGTCTATCAGAACAGTAATTTTGCCTTTTGTCATAAAATGTTCGAGATGAGCTAAAATTTCACGATTAATTTAAGCTAAACTGTACAAGATAATTCAGTATAGAAGAGAAGAACAGTACTTTTGCCTTTTACTAGAAAAACTAAACTAAAAAATTTAATGAAACTGGTATTTTGGACGTTTCTGATCAATCTAGTCTGGCCTATTCTCCTTATTTTGCCACAGAAACCCGAAAACCCAGATTTTAAAATGCCGAAAATAGAAAAAAAAGCAAGAACAATTTTGATCTGTTCCATAATAATGTTGAAATCATCTCTGAAAAACTTTTTAAGTAAGTGAACTTTTCATCTGTGGTTTGGTCGTTTCCGATCAACTGTCTGTCGTATCTTCACTTTTTTGGGCCAGCACCCAGACAACCCAACGCTAAAAATGGTAAAATGCCAAAATAAAAAAGAAAACAAGAACAATTCTGGCCTGTTCCTTAAAAAATCCATAATCAGGCTAAACTTCATTACAGACAGTAAGGCGGAGTTGTTAGTTTAAACAAAAGCTCGATGGTCTGAGGAAGCTTCTGAAGTAAAAAAAAAATTAAAGATATCATCTTTTAACAGAATCTTATCAGACAAAACTTAAAACAGCAAGGCAAGCTTTACTTGAATTAGGACATCATATTATTTATACGGGCTGTAGAGATCAGTCAAGTAAGATCTCACAAAAAATTATATTTTTAAGTTTGCTCTTCAATTTATTTTGGTTTTATCTTATATCTAAATTTTTTTAAATCTTTTCACAAAGATGTTTTTAAACAGTCTAGAAACGGAGTATTTTTCCAAGCAGTAAGATTAATTTATGTTGTTTATATATTTTTTTAAAGAGAAGAGGGAATCTCGCGCGTACCCTTGAGACTTCTAACTGAACTTTTTTCTCTCCTGCTCCGAACTCATAATTAATTCAAATTGCAGGTCCACGCTTTTAGAAGATCACTAGGCGGTCCTCGTAGGTACATATTTCCGCTCCGTTTGCCAACCCCTTTAGAAACACCTTCCGGAAGAGACCTAGATTGGAATTATTTTTCAGGAATCCCTGTAAGAAACCTTATGCAATAACCAAGGGAATGGAGCTGAGGCAATGTTTAAAGATCACTTGTTTATATTCGAAATAATGAATTTCGAAAATATATTTTAAAAAATTGTGAAATTGATATTGCTATTGTAAGCTAGACTATTTCTTGGCTAACTTAAGCCAACTAATTAATCTGTTTAGTTGTAGTTTTGTCGTTTCCAGTTCCAGTTTTTTAGGCTTTGGACCAAAACAGCAGAACCGGAATAGATCCAACAATAGTTTAAATGTTGGTACAGCTTAAGTTAGTTAAAAGTTTAGCTTATTTAAACTTTTGTTGTTTTTTATTTGGCAAGTTGTCATTTTCAGCTGTAAGACTTCTGGTGCTGGACCAAAACTGGGAGAACGGGCTATGTCAGACTTGGTTAAGTTAGGCTTAGAAAGGCATGCTTTAAAAAACTTTAGAAAAAACAGGCAAAATTTTTCCTACCCGTTAAACCATTCACAGAATTGTCCAGCTTTAGGATGTCCTTAGTTCTAGACCAAAACAGCAATAATAGACATTTTTCAAATCTTTGCCGTATCCTCTGTTGGTTTTTCTGGGCCCTGAATCAAAACAGCAAGATAGGTTAGACTAGGATGATCGGAATCGACCAAACTATAACTTAAAAGATGGTACAGCTTAATCTACTTATAAGTTTAGCTATTTTTGAAGCTTTGCAGGAAAAAGCAAAATTGTTGACTCTTTTAAACGCGTTGGGGCAGCGATTTCTGGTGGATTCTGTGATCTGGGTCAAAACAGCCGAACAAGAAAAAAAGAATTATTCGTTCTGGGATTTTTTTCTTCGAGCCTGCGGGTTCATGGACCATAGTTATTTACGCAAATCTATTGCACTGAAGATGTCGAGTAGCCGATACGCATCAGACCAAAAAAGCCAGGATAAGAAGTGCAAGATGATCGGAAACCACCAAACTACAGGTTGTTGACTTTGCAGGCTTCAAGAAAAAATCCCGAATTTTTTTTACCGATAAATCTTGACTAGATTTCTTGATATAACAGGGAAATTACGAAATTATCACAATAAATTATTTCATTCCTTTAATTAACTGACAGTTGGAACATTCAGAAGCCTGACTATCACAGTAAACAAAGGTATAAACACAAGATTATCTACGATTTTAAAACCACCCGGGCCCGGACAATCGCAAAAATAAAAACAAAGGACTATACCTCAAATATAACAGTATTTACTACTTTTGTTTCACTGATAATAACAATTAATTAAAATTTAAACATATAAAGTTTAGCATGGTATTTCTATGTTGGTTGAATCAACGAACGAGGCATAATTTTTGATAATTCTGATCCATAAAAAACTGTCCGAAAACACAGAATACATTTTTATTAGTTCTATTTCTTCAGTGTCATGAAGCAATTAGATTTTTTATTTTTTAAGTAGAAAAATAATTTAACTCGATCTCACAAAATACCTGTGAAGTGGGAATAATCCAAAAAGTGTTGTCATGTAAGAATCCAAAAAGAAAACGGAAAAATCGTTCACTGTGTTGACAAAAGCGAGAACGGAGCCGGTATCACTGAGTGACGCGGACAGAAGAAGACGGGTCGGAGGTTGAGCACAAACTGAGTGAGACGTGGGTCCTCGAAGCGGCAAAAGTTGTTGCAGAAGAGAACGTGGCTCGGTGAGGAGGAGGCGCTTTCTCTCGACGGCGGCCCGGACTTATTCGATGCTTCGCCCAGGCCGAGTCGGCGGGCTTGACTGGAAGTCTAGAACTCTTCGTTCGTTTTGGGAGTTTAAATACTTGTGCCGGACTAACTTAACAACGAATCAATCATTCAAGGGACAGACCATAAATGACCACACTCCAGATAAGGAGACATAAAAGCACTTACAACAAAGTTTATGGGAAAAATGGCTACATGAGTGTAATAATGTGATGTATGACCATGCAGGAGCAACATAAGAAAGGAAAGACTACTGGCTAGACTTCGAATGTGCTCATCTAGCAAACTTCTGTCCAAACTGTGGGGTGTCGTTATCGGTTCTGCATATAATCACTAAATGACCAACATGAAAGGGAAAAAAAGAAACTTACGGAACTTGCAAATGAAATCAAGACGATAATCGAAGGAAACGAACAAAACATAAGACAGCTAATAGAAGTTGTAAATAAAGAAAAATACAGGGTGTTCGGCTACTCGTGTTACAAACTTTGCCAGTAGATTCCATAATCAAAATGAAACCAAAAAGTCCTAATTAAATATGGTACGATTCTCAGCAGTTTCAAATAAAAAATAATTACTCAAAACTTAAAGGTTTTCTTGCGTTTTAGTAACCAAAACTTTGAAAAAAAAATTATTTTTCAAAGTTCTGGCTACTAAAACGCTTATTTCACGAGCGTTTACAAGTTTAATATTGATCACTCCTTATTGGAAATTTAACGTAGTTTTCAATGGTATCAACAGATTTGTCCAAAACCTTTTAGTTTCGGATTTATCATTGTTCATGAAGAAAGGTCGTGAAATCTCAAGAAATCAGGAAAAGTGGAATAACTCCGAAACTGCTGAGATTCGGGTCATTTTTTTTTTTTTTTTTTTTTTTTTTGCATTGACATTTTGTCTTCAGCCGTGTTTTTTGTTATCATTATTTTTTTTATTTTTTTATTTGTTCGTTATAAATTATTTATAAGCTGCAACGAGTTCGTTTGACAAAATCGACCAGAGCCCGATAGACATCGAAGTCTTCTGTTCATATTAAGAATTTATAATTATAAGGTTTTGCTATTTCGCACTGGTCTTTCTCACCGAACATAGTCTTCCTTTCTTCATCATATTTTTTGCAATGCCACATTATATGTTCCGCATTATCTATTAGGTTGCATCGGTACACAGATCACTGTCTTTCTTTCCTATCATGTGTAAGTATGCATTACAGATGCAGTGGTTTGACCGTAGTCTGTCTATTGTAACAATGGCTTGCCTTTCAAACGTTTCTTTGGTGAACCAAGGAACGCATCCGACTTTCGGAAAGATGGATTTATACCATTGTCCAGTGCTTGATGATTTATATCTATTCTGCCACTGTGCAATCGGTCTACTTTTGATAACATTGATGACATCGTAATGGGATATTTTCAACACTTTTTCTATCTCTGATTTTTTGGTAGCTGACTTGGCCAAATCGTCGGCTTTCTCATTTCCTTTCAATGAACAGTGGACTCTTACCCATAAGAATAGAATTTGTTTCCTTTATACCGGAGATCATTTATTTTATTTATAATTTTAACGGTCAATTCTGTACCATATGATTTGGTAAGATTTGGGGTCGTGACGCTGGATAAGGCACTCCTACAATCCGAACAAATTAATACCTGATTGTCTTCAATATATTCCGCGTATTCAAGAGCCAACAGAATTGCATACATTTCGCAAGTAAACGAGGAGGACTCATTTGGTAATCGATTGGTACGATGCATGTTTATTATTGAGAGAGTCATAGTATGCCCCACCCGATTTTCCATCCATTTTAGAACCGTCTGTGATTATGGGAGTCGCGATGGGCCACGTTTTGTGGATGAGTTCGCGGAATCTTTGGTTTACTTCATTGGGCGGGAATTTGGAAAAATCTGGTAGAATAATTAACCGGGATCTTTGCATTGTTGAGAAGAATTCAAGATTGAATAAGGGTAGATATTTATTCACTTGAATTGATTAGAATAACCTGGGGCATTCCCACCCTAAGGTGCTAATAATTGGGGGCTTTTTTTTAATCCAATAAGGGGATGTTAGGACTTCGATCATCAAATTGTGGATTTTTTGGTAGAGTTGGTGGTGTAAGGAATAGGTTTTGAGGACATATTTATCTGCTAGCCATTGTCTTCTGATTGATAGCGGGGGTTCATTAGCTTCCCTGTGCCGGACATCGACTGGGGTAGAGTTTAGCGCCCCTAAGCAAATTCTAATGGCATTATTTTGTATAGAGTCTAGTGGTTTCAATATACCATAAAAAATGGAACCATAATCGATGACCGAGCGAATAGTTGCTTTGTAGAATAATAGTGCTGAGGAAGGATCTGCGCCCCATTTCTTACTTGTTACTGCACGAAGAATGTCTAAATACTTATTGGCTTTCTCGATGGTATAATTTATATGGGATTTCCATTGTAGCTTCCAATCCAGCCATAGCCCTAAGAACTTTACTTTTTTAACACACGGAAACGAAAGATCATCGATCGTAAAAGAAGCGTCAAGTCAACCATAGTTAATTAGGACTTTTTGTTTCCATTTTGAATATAGAATCTACTGACAAATTTTGTAACACGAATAGCCGAGCACCCTGTATAGTATGTAAATAAATGTTGATATATGTTAATCTTGTAAATGAATAATAGTTTCAAAGTTCTGATGAAGGGGGTTTTACGAAAAAAAAAAACAGATTTTTTTTAATCGGCCTTATCCATGATTTTTAACAAAGATTATAATATTGAAGGCTGATATTAACGAGCTATCACAAGGAGAAAATCAATTTTTAATGTTCAAAAAATTTTGAATGTAAAAATCCTGCGATTTTTGAAATACTCTGTTTCCTACCATATTCATATGTCCATTACATACTGATCAATATAAGGTCAGTTTATTTTCGTATTTTCATGTACTGTCTCGGTTCGGTACCTTCTGATATGATAATAAAACAGTTAATGGTAGGTAAGGTAGCGCATGTTTCCCTATTATACTCAGTATTTTTGAACCAGAAATTTTATTATGTTTAAAATCTTCTGTATTCTCTAATCCTGACATATAGGCGAATCATTTTTCGACGCATCATAAGAAAAAAGCATTAGTTCCCGTTAAAATTGGCTCTACTTCTGCTGATGTTTAAAATTTGTTTGGTGAAATTTTTGATTGTATGGACTTTTGATATGTATTTAGAATAGTTTTGGGGTTTTTGTATATCCCGGTATTCTGGTCCGCCTAGTCTCGCTGTTTTGGTCAGCCATCTTCACACAGCCACACAAATTTCACCCAAATAAACAATGAACTCGCACAAACCCACCACTGATTATTGCATCTGACAGACCAAAAACAGCAAGAATAGATGAGACCAGCAGGATGATCAGAATCCGACCAAACTACAGCTGAAAAGATAGAACATTTTAAATTAGTAAAAGTTTAGCTAATTTTGAAGCTTTATACGAAAAAGAAAAATTGATGATGTGTTGTGGCATTTTCACCACCATTTTCGGTGGTGCGTTCTATGTTCTGGACTTAAAAAAAAGAACAAGAAAGTAGAATTTCTGCGTTCTGAGATTTTTTAGCCTGCGAGGTAACAATCCTATAGCATAGTTGTTTATGAAAATTCATCATAATCAGCAATTATGTTGACGACATACACACAAATACTTTTGTCAGACTAAACAAGCCAGGTTAAGAAGTGCATGATGATCGGAAAGGACCAAAATACAGGTTTATCACCTTCTAGATTTCAAGAAAAAATCTCAAAAATTTTTACCGACAAATCTTGACTAGATTTCTCGATACGAGAGTGGAATTACGAAAAGATTTCAATAAATAAATTTCCTTCCTTTAATTAATGAGAATTTGAACTTTCAGAAGGCTTATTATCACAGAAACACAAGTGAAAACACAAGACCAAACTACAGTTGTTTTGTAAAGTTCAATTTAAATCAAAATTTATGAGTAAAATATAATTATGAATTTGTAAAAGTTTCGTTCACAAGTCCCTACACGAACAAAGTTCTGTCATAACCTCATTCTCTATTATAATTGTTTAGTAAACAAAAGAACTATTTTGTTCCCCATTCTTGGGGTCATTTTTCTCTGTCTTAGCTAGCAAGAGTGCTCTCTATTACTTTCTCAACAAGTTTCTCTATTAGCTCTGTTTGCTTGGTAATTTTGTTTCTAACCACCCAAAACAAGTAACGAGCATTTATGTGCCAGAAAACCGGGAAAATGTTTTCTGATTTTCAACAGCGGAAACAAATTAGTGACTTCTCCTCAGGCCACTAAAAACCCAGAATTAAAGTAAGTATGAACCTCATTTTTGTAGTTCCGACTGCATTGCAGTAATAATATTATTTGCAATAGAGGTTGATCAGGCCTGCAAGTTACCTGGGTCAAAAATCAATAGTCCATTTTCTCTAGTCTATACACAATTTTCATCTTACCTGGATATCATTAGGTACCGAAACAATGCACACGTATACAGGGTGAGCCAGTTTCGGACCCTTCACAGTATAAAGCGTTAGTTGCGTTCAGGTTTGACTCACCTGTGATTCCTTTGTGACGAAGAATGTAAGTAAAGAAACAAGATTGTCGAATCGTCGAATATCATTTTATATAGAAGTCAGATTTTAAAAAATTAACACAACTGCTCTATCTGCTTCATTAGTTAGGAGGAGCTTTTGACGACACATTGCCCACTGCCAATGAAACGACATTACCAAAGCCAGGACCCTCCGACTACCAGATGGATATGATGGAAAAAAGGTAGCTTGGTTTCAGGAAGGGTCCTTAATATGATACACGAATGGATAGCCAATGACGATCAATGATATCCACATAAAACAAACTTGCGAAAGGACAACTCTAGACATTAAAGAATCCTAACTAGCAACCAGTTACGATTAAATAGGGTAAAACTGAGGAGATTGATGACTAAGGGCTTTGTACAGGTCACTGACATCTCACAAGCCACCTTCAGAGTATAGCCATGTTCAGCAATGACCCCATTTGTAGATTAATCATGAAGAAGAAACTGCCACTTATCTTCAAATTCGAAGCAACTTCTGGCATAACCAATTTTTTCACAAGAGCTCGCAACAGCAGGCATCTTATCAACTCTCGGGGTGTCAGTTTTTTTGAAAAAGCACATTTGTAAGTATTCGTCCTCGGAGCTTAGTGCTGTGCGCCGTAACAACACCTTAACCATTGCGGCCACCGATACTCCTTGACAGGCATAACTAAGGATACAAGAGACCCTGGAAAAAGAATAAATGCATGACATCAATGCTTGCACCATGGAAATTCTTAAAAGCAGCGACAAAAAAATCATCGGTGAATGCATGTAAAATCTTCAAACGGAAGGAAAACAACATCTTGAATATATTCAACGATGACTCCATTTGTAGATTGAGGAGTAACTGCCACCCTTATTATCTTAGAATGCGTAGCAACAGATCTATAAAACCAAGGGTACCTAGATGATTCAAGAAAAAACTGCAGCAATGAAAATCATTGATCTACTACTTCTTAAAAGCAGGATCGAGTCAATTTAACTGACCTAATGAAATAGAAAAAAACAATTACCTACAAGGATGGCCAAATCTCGGCATCAAGATACAAGTACGTTATTGAACTGTGCGGTTCAACCTCCAAAGAGTACAAATACTTCGAACCATCACTCAGACTCCCTTCTTCATACTCCTAACTATCCACGCAGTTCTCGAATCCCATTTGTCATCGAAATTGCCAGAAGTCAATAGAGACGTTCCATGATAACCTGTGTCTTCGTCTCAATCCCTAATCCAACACCTTTCATCCCTAACCCTTTCCTAAAAATCCTCCGAGACGTCTAAAACCCCGAGGCCAATTCCATTTCACATCTAGTGAGAGTTGTAAGAGTGTAACCACTGGCGACCACTCATGAGTAATGAAATCCTGTGCAAAGATTTGTGGATAATAAAATCAAAATGTATCGTAAAAAATAAACAGCTATAATGTGAAGACCGCCATATGTGATTGACGAATTAGTTTTTATTTTTAAATAATAAACAATAAAAGCATTTCAGCAAATTACTAGGCCATGTATTTCAACGACGATGAATTCGAAGAGGACGGTGACGACGATTTGTACGAAGGAGTGTTGAAAGACAAAAAATTGTTCACGGAATCTTCTTGCGACATATGCTCCGAATGCGAAAAACGTTGGGGATGCGTGAACACAGAACTCCATGCAAGTATCGGGCGTAGTTTGTAAAATTTCTGTGTGATTGAGGGGGTGGATGTGTACTTTGTTCGTACCGATCTTGATGGTCTGCCCATCTTCGTTGCTTCTAGTAAGTCAGACGCGTTTCGGCTTCTCGCCATCGTCAGTGTGAGTTGGCACAACTAAATGTCAAAGCTCGTCGGACAGACCAGACAAGTGAGGACAAATCGGAATATTTGCCTTGTTATCTAACTTGGTATAATTTTTTTAGTAAATTTTAACAGATATTTGTACAAACCCACCATATTGATGATTTCATCTGACATAACACCTCAGCAAGAACAGGCAGTCCAAAATGGTCAGTAAGGACCAAATTACAAGCTTAATTTGTTTGCCATTCTTTCCCACTTTTTTAAATCATATTTTTTTTAAGATTTGACCGCAGAAATGAGATTTTTTATTCTCAAATTTTGTTAGATAAATCTGAGTTGTATATTTGCCTTTTCCAACTGAAAGGGCAACTCTGTCATCAGCAAATATTATGATGGTTATATGTTTCATCTATGATAGGTAACTTGTATAAGGTGAGGGGCCTCGGATGCTTGTAGTACACCAACCTTGTTTGGAACAAATAAGAATAATTCATCTTATTGTCTAACTTTTTGGTCAGTTTCTAAAGAAATCCATACAAATCCACCACTGACAATTGCAATTATCTGACAGACCAAACCAGGGAGAATAGCAAAAGGCCTCTGCTTTGATATGTTCTATTCCGTGCAGATGACAGCAGGAAAGAGATATGTATATGTCTACTGTTTGTGGTAGCACCAGAGCTGTCCAGAAAAGGTGAAACTGTTCAGATTACTACACTATGCGGTCACTGCAATGCTGCAAACTGGCACATGTTTTCTCTGCCGGGTAAGAGCCTTAATGTCGCCAGCATCCCACCAAGTTAAAGGTTGAGGGTTCCGCCAGCATCCCACCAAGTTAAAGGTTGAGGGTTCCGCCAGCATTTTGCACAGCATCGGAGCACTGACAGGACTGGCTCAATAAAATTGCCTACCAGCATACTGAAATCACCTAATTGATTACCGAAATGATAAATAATGACCAAATTACAGGGTTAATCTGTTATACGTCCTATCCCACTTTAGAAATTGTACTTTTTGATAATTGAACCCTGAAATGTGGTTTTATATTCTCAAATTATTGATAGTTAAACATGAGTCGTACTGATGCTTTTTCCCACTATGAGGGCAGCTGTGTCATCATCAGCTGATGTGATGGTAAGATTTTCCATCTGGGAGGTAACTTGTATACAACAAGTACAGTATGGAGCCTAGGATATCACCTTGTGGTACACTTCTTCATTTCGAACAAATTTGGATATTTGATTTGGATGATTTTTTTAAAATTAATACTTAAGTAGTAACACAAAAACATCAATTGACTATAGTAACTAACTTTTTCTTTTATAATAACTGTTGTGAATGTACAATTTAATATATTGCTATTTTAAAACAATTCTCTATATAATTTTATTTAATAATTAATTTTCCTAATTTGTAACTTTTTCATATAGACCAAGAAACAGTTTAAAAAAGAAATTCAAAAATATTATGAAAATCTTATAAAAAGTGGAACGATATCAATGTTTGTTGACCTCCTTGCTTCAGTATACCCAAAACAATTGAACAACTATCTTTTCCTGTATCCTTTGCCATAATTTAAGAATATATAAAAATACTGTATATACTTTTTTTACGAGGGTATTTCAACTACGAGATTATATGAACCCTCAGGGTGCTGGTGTTTTTGAAAAAAAAAAAACCTCTGTAAGTATGTCAGGTTCGAATGCAAGGCCGCTATATTTTTACCATAGTTTCTTGTAATCACCACACATATATTTTTACCATAGTGTGATGAGTGCTGTGTCAACGTTTAAACCATTAGGGGCAACTGACGCCTACCTACATAAAAATATAAATGTGAAACAACATTTATCAATCAATCATTGTTTTTATTGTAATGGGGAGTTTTTAATAGCAGAAAAGCCAAAATAACAGTTGTAATATAAAACACCTATTGAATATAAACCATTAAAAATATTAGGTGTGTATTACAATAATGACAAAAATACCTAAATGAATATTCATTTTTTTCTTCTTTATCAACACTCACCAATCATTGATATTTTGATACAAAACGTATTTCTATATTTGTATTGAATTCTGTTGGCATAGTAAGAAAATTTATGCACTTATGAGAGAACCGTTTCTAGACCTTAAAAAATGTAGTATGTAATCACCTCAATGGAGACCTGATTAGCCTATTAATAAATGTGTCAACAATAACAAATATTTTTGTAGTTTGTGTTTCTGTGTTTTGTATGAGTGTATTTATTAGAGTGAAAGGGGAGGGGCTGATGGTGAAATAGCATCCCCATTGCTCTTCGAGTTGCGTATGTGACTTGGGTCGTTGGCGGAATATTGATAAAAGTACCACTACAAAAAATAAATAAATCAAAAACTAATATTAGGTTAGTTTATTCTAGGCAGGTTACTAGGTTATATCTTCACAAGTGGTCCAAATTCTATAAATTATATTTTGCCTATTAAAGTGGTAATTATTTTATGGGCAAAGAGTAACCAGCAAGTGGGAAACCCACTTTGGTAGGTAGAATTTAAATAAGAACGCACAAAAAATTTGTTCTATCTTAGACCATTGGGTCTCTCTTTAGGAGATGAGATTGAAGAATGGCTTTAAGTTTTTAGTCCACCAAAAAAGCTCCAATAGTATAGTAAGCTGTGGGGACACCTCCTAAAGATTGGCGAATATTTTGAATAGCCTGCTTGGCAGGATTTTTCATCCTTTTTTCGATAAGAGCATGGAAAAATCAAGGTTATAAGCAATGACGAACATTAATTTGACATTATAGTTTATATAGATTAGCTGGTTTACTAACCGGAAGATTTGGTTTTGGTTGATGCACCTGGTGTGTTCTCCGTGTATGACTATCATTGTTTAAACAGCAATATAAATTTACTAGCTATTAATCTAAGCTATTTTTTGTTCTGCTAAAAATATAGGCTTATTATATACCCATAATTTGGTTTATAGGAAGTACTGTGGTAATTCAAGCTTAAATAACTTACTAGAGGTTCAAAATTACATTAAGAGCATTCTTAAAAGTCAACTTTTACTATTTAACTCCTTTAACTTCCCACTTAAGAGATCATGTCATGGGAATGGTGTCCCAAACTAAAAACGAACACCTCAAAAAAAAGATCCAAACGCTTTTCGAACTCGATGAAAAAATCTCTGAGGAGAAGATCAAACTGTCGATGGCGATCGGGAAGAAACAATTCACCCGCGAGCTCATCGAGCAGGTCACTGAAAGGCGGAAAAAGGCAAAATTGGAAACGGAGAAGGGCCCGGTCACAGAGAGCCTGCTAAATCTGAAAAAACAGTTGTGTGAACCGCAATGTTCCAGACAACCTTCCATGGTTCAGAACAAAAACACATAATAAAAAAAATTCTTAAGAATCAAACGCTCTTGTGATTTTATTCAAATTAAACTTTTTTTGTTCATTACTGAGATAATGTAATTGATAAAATAATAATTCAGCTAATTTGCATATTTTGAATCGCTGCAAAGCATATACATTTTAATTTGCTCTAATCTGACTTCAATCGCACTATTAACTGGATATTTTTAAAACAACTACAAAAATATTTCGATGCATTGTTTCTTGTGGATTGTTTGGGAAAAAATGCTAAAGGTAGCCGTTCTCAAAATAAAAGTGACAAATTTCTTCACTTACAACCTTTTAGAAGTGAATTACACAGAAGAAAAAGTGCTACTGTTTTTATTTATTCCTGGGCACGCAATCTGTGTGTGTCAACGAACTATAGGTATGAATGACTAATTTGACATTGTTCTGTCTATTGTTCTTACTGTCATTCCATTCCTATCTTTCTAACTTATATTTACTTTTGGCCAAATCGCTAAAAACCCAATTACTATTAAAATAATTTGCAATTTTATTCTGAAAACAATTATTTGAAAGTCATGTCAATATAAAAGTTTTTATTTTAAAACAGACAAAATATACAAATACACTGATTGTACCATGCTTATAATATTATATACAATATTTCAAACTTATTTATACATAAATCAATTACTGACTATAAATTTTTGAAAACATTTTAATTGTAAAACTATACACGATGTTAAATTATAAGTTTCTGATGGAGCACTTAATTTTTTGTATTAAAAAAAAAATGGTTACGGTAACTTTCTGTTTTCTTCAATGGTTATTGTTTGAAACAGAAAAGCAATGAAAAGTTAATTAAGTAAGTACTTAAAAATTTGCAGATGTTGGTATATACACATTGAAATTTTTTTGGAATGTGCAGTCTCCCTTTCACATAGCGGCGACCCTGAAGAGACCGAAGAAACTCTTCGTGTGTTCAAATATTGTGTACCGGGTGCCTTCAACTTCCTTTATGCTGATTTTGTCATCGACGTTGAGCTTTACAAGTCCACCTGAAATTTACCATTAAAATATCAATAATTGCTTTTGATGAAAATTAGACATAAAACATGCCAGTGTAGCAGGAATTTCTTTTCGCCTCTCCAGATCGATGAACACCATGAGCCGTTATGGTACACTGCATTACAACTTCATCATTGACGTATATTCTGAATCCAGTTGTATCGTGCGGATCAGCGTAGAACACCTGTAAAATAATTTATTTTTAAACAATTTTCATCAACATAAATCATCTGGCATTTCGTACCTGAGCATATACATAGTACAATCCTGGATAGTCGGTCAGTTTTACTTCACCGTTGTCGAAGTAAAGAGTCGGATCCAAATACGAGTTGGGTACCCATGCCGCTTTCGTCCATTCCCTGATCACACCGTTCGGGTGGTACATGCGGTGGTTGCCTGGGGAACATGTAAAAATAATTGATTTATTTTCACTGATCTCACAAATTGTACAATCCCAAAGGAAAATGAGGCGTATAAGACGGATGAAACCAGTAGATTATGAATCAAAATACAACATATTCAACAGTAGCAATATTAAGAACAGAATTAACTTATTATTTATCTTAAAAATTGTTACAACAGTTACAGTTGATTGAGGGCAACCGTGGGATCAGAACTTGTCCCTAATTAAACATATAATATATAAAAATTAAAGAAATTTCTGGCATGTAGGAGGGCTAAAAGACATTTGATGTTGTGAATGAAGGTCAAAACACTTTGTAATACTTTTTCCATACTCTGCTGAATTAAAAAGCAATGGGCTGTGCCAGGATTCGAACCCTAGCATGGCCAACACTAGTCAGATAACCTAACCACTTGACCACTGCGACCCCCTTTATAATATACATAAATTTAAATATTAAAGCTATTATAAAATTAAAGATTGATAGTCATTAATGGCTAAAGTCGTTTAAAAATAGTCATTAATAAATATTAGGGTAATAAATATAGGTGGTATTAGGGTTGTGGTCAACAATAAAACAAGCATTCATTGGTAGATACCTCCATATCTTAATGGGATACTCTTAGCAAGTTGTTTAAGTTGAACTATCACCACATCAATAAAGGACAGCAAAATACCCCTCAAGGTACTAGGTAATAATAAAAAGTCAACCACAATGGTGCATGGACAAAGAGTCAAACCTCTTCTGTTTCAAAAAGTAAAAATATAAAAATAGACTGTGTCAAGGACCCGGGAAACTACATACACCAATAATGTAAGGAACAGGCGTTAAAGCTCTGGGAAGAACAGTGGCGAACTGTGGAAAAAGAGAAACACACAAATCCAGACAATTTTTTCTAGACTGAAATGGCTGTTTCAAATGAGCCCAGTTAATCCAAGCACCAAGTGGCCACGGAAAAAAAATAAAGCCTATCTGTAACACTTCTATAAAACGGATGACATTCATGCACCTTTGGCGCTCCTATTCAGGACTCATAATGTCTGTTTACTCATACTCAATTGGTCAAGTTTGATGATATTCGAGGAAATATGTAAAGGGATATCCTACTTCAGAAGCATCAAGCTGATACCAAATAACCTGCTGATATCACCCCAATTCTCAAGACAATTTTTTCCCTTTTCAGCCATTTGCTGTAGAAAGAAGTAAAACGAATAAGAAAATCAATCCTTATTGAAATAAAAATTTACAGTTGGACCTGCAACAATACTGTTTCAAAATCTCCACAATCCTGATACCATCAAACTTTGTTGGTCAATACCTCCAGATACAGTATTAACATCTGGTTGGTAATCCATCTACCTCGCTGGTTTAATCTATCAGATTTTAGACATTTCGCCATCATCATTGTGACTATCCTTATAAAAGAAACTTTACAGAAATTCAGAAACAATGGTAAAATTTCTTGCTGAAGTATGATAGGCAACATAATGAGAATAGGCAGACCAAGATGACCAATAAGGATCAAATTACAGGTTTATCACACCATAAACCACAGGAGGAAATCTCATGATTTATTTATCAGTTATGATAACCTTGTTAGTTTATTACCTGATAGGCTAAACAATTTTTAATAATAATATTAAAATGATAACTTTTTTTTAAAGCTTTTTTTATATTTTTACAATATATCCAAGTCATGCATGCACTTTCATACCAGTATGTCTCCTCCTGTTCATTCAATGGTTTTGTGAGGATTATAGAAAAATTAATAGTTACTGTCATAATGACGATGATGTCCTTTTCTTGCAGCAGATGAGTTCCCTTCATAGTGAGCGACGACGTTCTTCATACATTTTGAATAGTCGCAAGAATCCATTTTCGGTGGGAATGTATGTTCTAATGGTCCAGCTTGTTGCTAGAAAAGGTCATAAATTGTAATTTAAGTATTTTAAATTTTTCTAAAACAAATATTTTTTTAAAGCATTTCTTACTTTTTTGTATCCATCAGATTCCAAGAAGATCGTTGCAAGCAAAGGAGCCCTATAAAGAAAAAATAAATAGTATGATTCTTTGGTTAAAAAAGAAAATAATAATAACAAAAACAAAATTTAAAGCTTAAGCAATTATTAGACTGTTTTTGAAAAATTTTACAAGACAAAGTTAACGGCAAATCAATTAACTTTTGCAACTTTCAGAAAACAATATTAAAGGCAAATGTGCTTAAAGAAAATCACGTTTCAGTTGATTGTGTAAAAATAAGCACATCTGTTGCTCCGACTGCAAAACAAAACTAGTATCAAAGTGATTTTATTGAACGGTAAACTAGGACAAACAAGCTCTTGGCCCTAATTGGTTTGTTATGACTCGATCCTTCTATTAAGAACATTGCTTTGTTTTAGTTTAATTTGTTTTATTCAAGAAAAAACACTTTAACTCCAAAAACTGACAGTAACTTTGCCTTTGACATGCAACTGCCAAAGGAAAAATCTTTTATAAATGGCATCAGTCTACAATGCGACAGTTGCTGGGAAATATTATTGAGCTCTCATCCCCATTCTTAAAGAAACCCTGGTTTGTTGGGATTCGAAAAAAATGCTTTTTATATTACTAGCGTATGTGGCTCATACTTGTACATTATGCTTCATAGGCTCAAAGTGTCATATTTGTAACAAAATGAAGGATCTGAACCAGATCTTGTGCTACAAGAAGTTTGGAGCACACTGATTCATCCTCCAGGCTCAATCAATTTCCTTGGTTCCTGGAAATACTACTGATGTCAGGAGAAGGTATGTACCTCAGAATACACGACTATACCCCTGTAATGCCGCATTTGAATTGTTTATCTGTTTGTCATGATATTGGCTTTTGATGTGATGATGTGGAATTGGACACTAGGAAGTAAAGATTTGGTATTCTCCAAGCACTGCAGCCTTTTGGCTAACTGTACTTTTCATAGTTCAGGCCAATTGACTTTATATAAAAAAACCTGATTTCAGATTAAAATCACAAAAATGTTAATATCTCAGGAAAGTCAAGATAGAAATTAAACTACGTTTTATTTAGTGTATCCACCATGGCAGTATTGATATTTACCCCTATAATACCATGAATATATACTAGCTTTTACCCGTGATTTCATCCATGCAGGACTCTCTTTTAATGTATCTTTCTAATGCGATGCAGAGTGGTGGTAAGGCTTTCTAATAGAAATGTCTTGTTTCTCTGCTCTACACTTCTTCAGTTCACTTCGGTCTGTACATGAAGAAAAATTGTCCATATGATCCCCTTAGGGATGGAATTTCAAAAAATCATTTCTTAGTGGCTATCTATGCATTACAGGAATGGACTGTCGAAATATCAGCCCTTGAGATCCAGCGGTTTGGTCTCTGCATTGTCTGTCAGTCAGTCACGGAATTGTTTTATATATATAGATATTTCTAATGGATGAGGTTTAATAGTGATTGGCAGCTGGATGGGATTGTTCCCCCCCTGTTCTGCATAGATTTGTAAATTTTGGTAGTTTGTTTTTGTCGATTTTTAATCCACCAGATTAGGTCTTATTATTTAAGGTCTCGCTATCAGAAAAAAAGTAACTTTTATGTAGTTGTTAGTTTTGTCTTCATTTACGGACCTCGAAGCCTTGTGCCCAAGGCCCTGGAGAATATGGACTCTTCCGTAAATCTTGTAAATAGTTCTACACTCCCAAAAAAGGATTTGTATCAAAAAGGACAGAAGCCTATTACGAGTTTTGATTCGTTAAGTGCCTACTTTTGATGGTGGACCGATGTCATCGAGCCTCTGTCTACAGGATATCTAAGGTTTAGAAAAAACACCGAGAATAAATTAGCCGTTTTCGTTTCTATTTATTTACATATCCTAATTAAATTTATGCGCAAAAGTGTTTCGCAAATGTATAAAGCAATGATGTAAATCGGTTACAGTCACGTCGTCATTTTCAATGTTTGGATATCTGCATCAGTAAAATCTTCGAATAAATAACAATTGCTTAATGTTTTCCATTGTTATTGTGTACATTTTATTTGTTTAAATCATGGAATAGTTAGTTATTTTCTAAAGTAAAGTAAGTTAACATGCCAAGTGTTCCCATTCAGTTCGAATCTCGTATAGAAAATAATGAAAAATTATCAAGGAAAAATAGACATTTTTAATTAATTGGCAGGTGAATTTGGAAAATCAAGTATGTCGAATCGGGGAAAGAGACAATTCATTTTTTTCCCAGAAGAAATTTGTTATTGTTTACAGTACGCGGGGTTGATCACGTCGCGATTGCACGTTCCTCCTCAGAGAAGACGAGGCGTTCCCAAAACAAAGAAAACCGATCGAAGATTGACATCGCAGTTTTACGCAACTTGCACAAAAATGTCTCACAATGCATGTTCTATTTTCATATTTTCTTTGTTTATCGAGGCAAAAAGAGCATTGGCATCAAAAAGCCTGACTAAGGTGAGATGATAGGGTGAGTCACCCTATTTAGCGAATACTCCCTCCCAATGAGATTTATGTCAATGTGTGTCTTGATTTACATCAAATCGGATCTATCTTTATTTGGGGAAAAGGAAAACCGGCTCTGAATCTACTTGAATGTCATTTGAAAAAGGTAGGGACGTTTTGATTTATTTTTAATTTGTTCTACATCCTTCCGATTATTATAATATACAAGGATTAAATGCATATTTTCATTTTTACATCCAACTTGTACAACACTAGGCCAATTTTATTAAAATCCATTCTACTGCTATCTATAACGTTTATTTTCGGTTCATAAGTTTTTCATTCAACAGTACGTCTATATTGCTGAGTTTTTTCCAAACAGTTCGCATTCAATAATTAATCAATGTTTCCAAGATAATTTTAATTTTAAAATTTAGCCAAAATGTGTACATTTACATTGGAAATACCGTCTTGCCCTGCGCTTTTCGTTAGAAACAAGAAACTACCACTACCTAGACAACAGAAGGATGTTGATTCCCTATACAAGTCTTAAGATACAACAAAATAACAGAGGACTTATAACTACGAAGAATTTTAGAACTCAACTGAGTCAAGACTGCATTCAAATCATGAGTCTTTTCAGTTAAGTTTTAAGTCGAGAGTTTTGTAATTATTTTTACATTGAACGTTGAAATATTTTTTTTTAAATCTTCTCAAGTGGATTTGAAGTGTGATGCTAAAATTATTAGAATTTTATGATAAGCATTACTACCCTTGGAATCACCGACTTATATAACACATATATTATATTTTACTATTTATTTTTTAAATTAAATTGAAAGAAAATGCTGTTTATTCTGTTGCCAAAGAAATAGAAAATCCAGGATTTACTATTACAAAATAACAACTTTGCAAATTCGATCGTTTCAATTTATCGTTGAACTTAACGTTGAAAAAGGAAAAATTTTAAAATTTAATCCATTAAAATATGAAAGTTTAATTTGTGTTCATTTTTTTAAACCTAGCTAACAACTAATTATTCAGAAATCGTGAGATGCGGTCTGGTGAGATGTAGGTTTCAGAAAAACATTTTCTTTATCGTGCCAACGTTTCGATCTTTATTGAGATCATCTTCAGGCCTCAAAGTGTTTGTCTTCTGTGTAATTGTGCCATTCTTGCGTGTCGTGTTGAGAGTGCCCACCAGACCGCATCTCACGATTTCTGAATAATTATCTATTAACGGTCACTAATCACCACACACTAGCTAACAACAAAAAATTGAAAATTATGGAGCTCTGAAGGATTTGTAGAACGAATTTATGAATTTTGGAGGGTGGGTTTTTCACACAATTTGAGCCATTTCCTCTAAAACCAATCGATTGTCTCTATAGATATTGAATTTTTCGTCAGAACTCGATCATTTTAATTTATCTTGTATCTGGTTAAAAAAAATAAGAAGTTGAATATTAAATTTAATAAAATATGATAATTTAATTTGAAACCTAGAAAAAAGGGTTCTCAAAAGGCTGCACTCTCATTTTTATATACAGGGTATATACTTCTATAGTCCACCCATTTAATTCGGAAACGATTAACTTTAACAAAAAATTGTCTTATGAAAACTCCAAGTTAATTTTGGCTAGGAATCGCGAGATGGTAACAGATTTAACATAACTTTCTCATTTAGGTGGGAAATGACACTAACTATGATGTTTTAAAGGAGAATCCCGTATTTTTATTTGTACAATTCGATTTCAGAGCTTATTTTATGCCACTTTTATCGAAAGGAAAATTTTGGTAGGATCGACCGTTTCTGAGTTATGGCCGAAGGAAGAAGAGTGAGGGCGGTATGCTTCTTGTAACAAAAATTAACTTGAAGTTTGTATAAGACTATTTTTTGCTAAAGTTAATCGTTTTCGAAATAAACGGGTAGGACCACCTTGTTCTTGTTGTTACAAAAAACATACCCCCCCCCTCACGCGTCTTCCGTTGGTCATAACTCAGAATCGGTCGATCCTATCAAAATTTTCCTTTCAGTAAAAGTGGCATGAAATAAGCTCTAGAATCGAATTGTACAATAGAAATAAGGGATTCTCCTTGAAAACAACAGAATCAGTGTCATTTCCCAGCTAGATGAGAAAGTTATGTTAAATCTGTTACCTCCAAGCGATTCCTAGCCACAATTAACTTGTGGTTTGTATAAGATCATTTTATTGCTAAGGTTATTTCCGAATTAAATGGGTGGAATATAGCAATTGATACACCCTGTATATATATTTTTTAAATATTTCTGTAATTGAGGTACCATATCATAATTTCGATCTTTTGCGGGAGATTTTAGGACAGCAATTTCGAACAATAAACAGGTTGCACTTTCCGGCCTTGGTGCCTGTGTTATTTTCAAATCAACTTTGCCGTTAGCCCAAGGCGCAGAAAAACGCCTTTACTCTAAAAGGTTTTTATTTTTATCTTTCAAACACGGATTTCTTAAAGATACATTCAAAATACATTCCTTACAACCGTTGGCGTTTCTAGAGGAAGCTGCTCTGACACCCGAAAGCGGACACGATATCAGATTTGCATAAACGGCCGTTAACCGTGGGAATTTAAAAGTGGGAATACGAACATCTTAACATTTGTCAATTCATCCGTGACAAAACAATCTTAAGTACACTGTTTGATTATTGAAAGATCCCAATGAAAAGTCATAAGAAAAATTGTTAAACCTCCTCTGAAACCAACCTTGCCCTGCAAGAAGCCCTTTATTCCATAAGTAACTAAATTTTCTGCACATCTCAATGCCCCAACCTTGCACTACCTTCCCAGATTATTCTGACTGATTTAAGTGTCCTATCACTTACGGTCCTCGGCCATGTTGGGACTGAGTCGGTTTCCAAAGAAATTTGAAACCTTCTATTAAAAACTTAATTATGACAATTTGTCGACACATTTAAGATAGTTTTGATCATGGCCTTAAAATAGGTCGAAAGGTTGACAGTAACAACTGAATTTGTTTTATTATTAAGGCCATACCGTGATCCAAATTATTCATGAATTCTCACTGAAACACGTGATGTTTTTCCTATTGGCTACTAAATAAAATTGAAGGGTGAAAATGTGCATACTTGTCAAATTTAATTTTTTTTTTTGTGAAACCTGAAATCTTCAGTTTATCAATGAACCATGTTTTACAGTGATTTAGTTTGATTTGTCTCATTGCCGCCTCATTAAATATAGAAGACCCGACTAAATTTAATATAATTTTCTATATTTGTTCATTAAAGTTTACAGATGAATTATTGAAGTCTGTATTTTCAAAATAAACCTATATATTTATTTATAGATTTTTTTAAGTTTTTTTTCTTAATATTATTCATTATTTCTTTGTGAGATTTTTCTGTGTTGTCTACGGAGTGATGACCTGGGATTTGATCGTACGAATAATTTTGCCTGCCTATCCTCACTGGGTTAGAACATTATACAAGCAAACCACAACTGAAGATGGCGAGAAGACTGATAGAGGAACCCAGCGAGGCTAACCAAAATGAATGGTATCGACCAATTTTTTTTTCTCTTTTGAAGGCTCACCACTGTGTGTATTCTCCGCAAATGTTCGTTTTTTGTTTTGTTCTTACTTCCGCCATTTTCAATTTTTTTATGTTAAATTTTGTCACATTTTGAGTTGTTAGCAGTGTATACGTTTTTGTCTTTATTTTTCAAAAATCCGGTCTCTAATTGTAATGATAGAATATCGAACGGTTTATCATTCTTCGAAGAATAATCTGATATAAAAACTTGTTCAAATATTCCCGCTTGTTCTACTTTCGGAACCGGGATTTCAACTGGTTGGTAGAATGAAAAGCATCGTTATCGCACAGAAAATTTTCAAACTGTGTTATTTCTGGTATTATTGCCTAAGATTACCCAATAATTATGCGAAATGCATAATTTATTATTAGATTATTGACGTTTTATATTAATTTCGAATGTTTTTCTTTGGTTTCTGATGACTCAAAACGGGATTGGGTTTTTTGCACACGATGCGGGATGACCGTCAATTGGACGACCTTCGCCGAAGCAATTTTACACTCTAGCCTGTTGTTACTGTAATCCTATTTATCTCCTCGTATTATTGACGATATGTTATTAAAAAATAATAGTTTAGTATGAAAACCGTCGGACTGTCAGGAATCCCAATGCGGTGTCCGCGGCCGCCAAATTTTCGCACTTCCTTTGGAAAAGCCGATTTAATTGTCATACGATCCGGTGGAAAAACCGAGGAAGCCGTAAATTGAGCTTTTTTCCAATGTCGACTATTTATGCAAGGATGCATTTATCTTTCGAAAGGGGAAAAAAAGTTATATTTCTAGTCTGCTTTTTTCTTTTTTTGACTCGTCCGGAACAAATAAGAAATCGGTACATAGGCTTATCTCACACTCTCCCTCTCACCCGCTATCTTCGGTAATAGATCAAAAAAACCTCGTATTAAGAAAAACCCCGGGAGAAGTGTAAATTTTATGTTTTTAAGATGATAAAAATTTAAATTTAACTAGTTAATCTTTATGTAAGGTATTGGTTGAAATGCATTGTCACGAACGGGATTCGAACCCATGACCTTCGGCTAAATAGGCCGCTGCTTTACCACTCGGACACCAACTCCCCATCGAATGGATCGAAGTCACGATAGCTCAAGTGGTAGAGCAGCGGCATATTTAGCCGAAGGTCGTAGGTTCGAATCCCGCTGGTGACACTGACTTTTACATTTCAACCAAAACCTTATATAAAAATTAATTAATTGAAAGAAGTTATTTGGTCAATCGGACCACGAAATATAATGGATTTAATAAGTATAACGAAGTATATCTTCACTAAAGCTCTCCGTGGCCAATTATAACCAAACGTCCCTGCACTTTAATATAATAATATATATATAAAATGGAAGGTTTATGGGCCGACAAACAGCTGAGGTCATCGCCGGCCCTCCGCGTGTATTCCTTCTTTTTCCTGTCTTTCTCGCGTATTTTGTATTGAACTGCAGCCATTTGAGCATCTCGTTACTGACTCTCTGCTTTTACTTGTATATTACGTCGTTATTTTAAAAAGCTAGCCTCTTGTTAGTACCTCAGGTTGTCAATGTAAGAATAGGTACACAACATACAATACATAACATATATATCGCCACAAACATAGAAGTCTGGTCACATTCACTCCCCCAGAGTACACGATATTCCTCGGGGCGGAGTTGAACCCACTCCATTCGCGCTAATAACTTACTTTTACTCTCCAGACGTCACACACTCACCCCAGAGTACTCGATATTCCTCGGGGCGGGGTTGAACCCACTCCATTCGCGCTAATAACTTACTTTTACTCTCCAGACGTCACACACTCACCCCAGAGTACTCGATATTCCTCGGGGCGGGGTAAATAACCCCTTCCTTTCACGCAAATAAATTACATTCATCCTAATGTACTAATATAAACACGACACAAACACGACACAAACACTTCAGACACAACACAAGCACAGCACAAACACACATAAACTACATACATTTGAAGATCCCTGCCCTGAGGACCGGTACAGCGATTTGTGCCCGCTGCCGTGCCCCAAGACTACGCACAGGTCCGATGATATTCCAAAATATTGCCTATAAGCGTCGAGCTTTCTACAATTGAAAAGGTGCTCGAGGTGTGTTACTCTATCATTGCATAATGGGCACCTTTGTGGTCGCTTTCCTGCTAGAAGGTGCCCGTGTGTAATCCTTGTATGACCTATGCGTAGTCTTGTCAGTATGACCTTTTCCCTTTTTGACCCATTTTCCATATAATAATAATAGTCGTGAAACTTGACCGCATCTTCTAGAAACTGACTATGTAAGTGGTTTAACTCGCCATGTTCTTTCCTTTCTCTCAATATTGGGTGTACCCAATATTTTTGTTTATTTCTTTCCATCCGTTTGTATGTAAAGTAAGAATTTTCCAGCAGCAACAATTCTTCTACATCCATTTGGGCTGTGTGGTGAACTGACGAAAATCGGCTACAGTGGACGACGGCGTTCGGCCATATTGCCGGTCCTCTGTTTGGACAAATAGTTCGGCTGTTGAACGGCCGAACTCGGTCGGCCGTACACGTAATGCAGCCCATTTGTCGCCGAGAATCGAATCCTGATTACACGACATTTGAAAAATGGCAAAAAGGAGGGAAAATTCGAAAGGTAGATTGAAATGGGGAGTTGGTGTCCGAGAGGATCGAAGTCACGATAGCTTAACAGCAGCAGCCTATTTAACCGAAGATCGTGGGTTCGAATCCCGCTCGTGACACTGACTTTTTCATTTCAACCAATACCTTACATAAAGATTAATTGAAAGAAGTTATATGGCCAATCTGACCACGAAATAGAACGGATTTAAATTTAACCCTTACGGACTGCTATTGGAGTAAGTGTGCTTTATAACGCTGTCCTCTTCTGATCCGGCTCTCAAGTCGTTCTTCGTCCGATCTAAGTTACGAACGCTTCTCTTCGAATAATGGCCGGCATGTCGTTTCTTCCTGCTTTCGTCTCCGTCGTCGTCGTACTCGTCTTCGTAGTATTCGTCCTCGTCTCCCGTCGTATAATTCTGGCTGTCCTTCATGTCTTCCTCGATCTGTAAAAAAAAAATTAATTAGATTTCGTATCGAGGGTGGTTTTTGTTTGAATTATCCACAGCGCCTTGAGGAAGGTAAAAAAATAATTAATAGAAAGTTAAACCCAGGCCGTCACTTGTAGATTATAACCTGAAGTGACACCCCAACGAGCCCCCTCGTTGTCTATTAATGCCGGTAATTTACTAAAGCTGTAATTTACGGTGATTACTACTCTCTGTAAGTAGTTCTTATTTTAAGGATTGCATCTCATCCTCGGGCGCCACAGAAAGCATGCGATGCAGCTAAACTATTTACATTCAATTTCTATTACGCCGACAAACGTCACGAGATGGAAATTGATTCAATTCCAATCTATTGTAATTATACTAGTTTTCTAAAGGTTTCGGCATAGCTTATGCTTAATGCGTTTTTTACTGTAAAAACGACTTTGGGTTTATTTATAGTATTTATACAATCGGGCGACATCTACCATCCACCAAGAAACAGCCACCTTGGTCTCAAAAAGTTTTTCTTTGTAACTCTATTAAACTTAAATCGGGGGTCAAGGGTGTTCGAATCCAAACAAAATTTCCGGACAGACCTAAGTAGTAAAAAAGACTGGAAAAAAACCCTCCGTTGAGAATGACGTCATATGCTGATGTTACGTCATACATTGATCGTTCTAGAATGCAACGAGGTACGGGGGTAGGAGTTCGGTCCTGGCACAAATACTCAGAACCCATGGGGGAAAAACACCAGTATCTTCCAATCTTCCAGGCTGAAGGAAGTAACTTCCAGGTACAAAAACAAAAATATTACTGTCATGTCAGATAGCCAAGCATCCATCAAAGCACTAAGTTCAAACATCGTTACTTCAAAGATTGTGCTGAATTGTACAACTAAACTAAAAAGATTAGGAATGCAAAGTAATGTCACCCTCTGTTGGATTCCAGGACATGTAAGAGTAGAGAGGGAAACGAGAGCGCTGACGAACTTGCAAAAAAAAGGGGCGGATTCCGCTGATAATCCCTAAGCCCCTTCTGTGGTATAGGGATTCACGCTATCAATGATTATCTTAGACAAGACGACAGAAAGAAAATGAGAAAACGGAGGAATTCACTCATTGGAAACAAAAGATTCGAGAACCATCTCGCGAGTTTGGATGGAAAGAAGAATACATCAAAGGAAGCAGAAAATGCTTCGAATCCCGAATAGGATTCTTAATTGGACACTGCAAATTGAATGAATATTTAAAATAGGCCAGTATCTTTACGGTATGGGTAGATTTTGCAAGAAAGTAGGCATGAGTCAAGTCGAACTAGATGATTTTATGAGCAGATCCTTGGCGAGACCGAAATAAAATAAAGATGATCTTGATTGTTTAATCTTGTTGGGAAAACCCTGACAAGACTTGCTATGAAAGAATCTTTTTGCGGAGAAAGGACAGCAGAAAAGGCTTGGATTGTTTCTGGGAGCATGGGAGGGATGTCAGCACTCAACAGCACATATTGTGAAAATGAAAGGTTCAAGAATGCACCCTTGTGGGGTGCCAGCTTGGATAGAGTAAGTGAGCAATTTCTAATAATAACTTAAAGGCCAGAATACGATTTTAGGATAAGGTAGTAGGCAGTGATGCCATTCAGCTTTCACAGGAGGCACAATTGTGCCCTGTCGACGGGTTGAGGAATGTCATGGAATACTCTGATAACACTGGTTCTGTTTAAAGCAGAATACGAACACATAAAGTTTGGAAAAGTATGAGAATATTTAGAGCAAATCGTGAGGGAAATGAGTTTCTTATCTTTTGAAGATTATTACCACGAAAGAGGTTACAAGTCATTCGACCCTATGGGTAGAATTTTGCCTAGCCAAAAGAAGATTAGGTCGGTCATGATTACTGACCTTAAAAAGAATAAATTGGTAAGACTTACAGTGACGGGGTCTTTATGCGGGGAAAGGACAGCAAAAGTAGATAGCTTAGTAGTGTGAGGATAGGGATGTCAGCAGGATATATCGTATATAGTAAAGGTCCAAGGATGATCCCTTGTGGGACGCCTCCTCGAATAAGATAGATACGGGATATTTCTGTGCTCTGTCTAACTCTTCAGTGTGATGCCAAGGGACGCTCCCGGACAATACTGCTTCTGCTCAATGACGCCGAGGCGACGTTAAGTAACGGCGAAAGATTCTGAAATTTAAGATCTAAATCCAACTCAATACTTTGTTGGGTTTAAATTTAGAGGTAAAGACGTTTAAATAGGAACCTCTCGACTATAATTTTAATTAGTTCAATTTATTTACTCATTGCTGTAAAGAGGCTGAAAGGACGATAGCATGAAGGATGAATCGACAGCTTTGGTTCGTTTGAGGAGAAAAACGATTGTGGAAAATTTCCAAAATGGAAAGGAATAAATTGGTCGCAGGGCGGAGTTAAGGTAAGTAAAAACAATTTGGGCTTTTCTTGGGAGATAGCGGACGATTTGAGAATGCAATTTTGTGCACAAATAAAATTTGAGAATATCATCCCTTAGTATAGGGGGTTTTGGAAGGTTCTAATTTCAAACAGTCAAAATATGCTGTAAAAAAGAAATCCTGTCTATAATTTTTTAAATTTCTTTTCATGGAAATTGTGGGATTTTTATCTGCCATAAAATACTTAGCTTTTCCAGATGTGTGATACTGCTTAAACAACACATTTAAAACGGGAATTAATACTAGTGAACACCTAATGCAAGTTGTTGGTACTCAGGGTACTCAATATTCCCCAGCCTTATTCACGCTAATAAATACATTCATACTAAACATAACCTTCCAATCGGAATATTTAGTTGAAATAAACTGTTTAGCCACAAGGCGAGAGAAGCTTCTTGAGCATTTTACTGACACCGAAGGCTGAAAATTATAATACTTCTTTAAAAACATATTTTCCAAATTCATACATTAACGTTTTAACACTCATTAAAAACGAAGAATTGAACAAAAATGTATTAAACCCAATCGATTGGTTTGAAAATTAAAGAAAGAAAGAAGGCCAATTTTGCCTATAGAAAACCTATACCTGTACAAACCTATCGAAAAATTTCAAGTAGTATAACATTTTTTTTAATCCATTATATTTAATGGTCTGATTGACCAAGTTACTTCTTTCAATTAATTATTCTTTGTAAGTATATAAGGTCTAGATTGAAATGAAAAAGTTAGTATCACGAGCGGGATTCGAACCCACGACCTTCAGCTTTTTTTTAAAGATATGAACATTTTTCTAATTACTTCAATAACTATTTAACAAATATGTAAATGTAAAATACTAAAAACATACTCTCAAACGAGTGGTTAGCTCAGTTACAGTGGGTTTTTCTAACTCGACAATAATTAATGCAACAACTACCTCCTGTATTATATTTCAAACATGTCCTATTTTTTTCTCTCTCTCCCAGAGGTTAAAAAGTTGTAGGACCCAAGTGTCTGACTGACATCCAGTCCGTGTTTACCCACAGGGTTCAAGTGACTAATGATAGGAAGTCGGACATCTTTAGCCCTATCGACTGCTTTGAACGCCATTGAGTCATTTTGATCACAATCTGTATTTTAATTGAAACTGTCTTCCTTGAGAATGGTCGTCATTGTTTCCTTTAACGATGGCTTTGGAGAAACTCTGAGTTAGATTGTGTGGACAGTTTTCCCGGGAGAATAACGAGATAACAAACATCCTACCAACCGTACGTACGATTATACACTGACAGGAAAAAAAGTCCACCCACTTGTAATATAACTTGATTTGCATATACTTTTGTAGATTAATCTAAGTTTCACTTTTTTAACGTTTAATAACTGAGTCTTTGTCAAAAAAATTTAAAAAATGTATGCTAAGGTAAATGAAAAAGAAAAAAAGATAAAATTTGTTTTAATTTTGTTTTAGATTTTCAATAACGCGTATTTCCTCCTCTTGCCTAAATTACTCTCGAAGACTCCTCGGCTTACTTTCTACCAGTCTGGAAATGTCTCTTTGCTGGAGGTTAGCCCATTCTTCGCGAAGAGTCCTTTCAAGATCTGGAGTGTATCAGGAAGTGATGGACGTGCTCTTATTCGTTTTTTGAGGTTATCTCATAAATGTTCGATTGGTTCAAGTCTGGAGAACGGGCTGGCCAGGCTAAGACCCTTACGTTATGCTGCTGCAAGTACGCTTGTACTACGCGAGCGACATGTGGACGGGCATTATCGTGCATTAGAATAGGATTGTCGTTGATTTCATCGAGGATAGGCATGATGTTCCAAACTTTCAACCATATAGCGAGTGGCCGTCAAAGACCATCCACGAACAACAACCAACTCTGTGCGACTCTCCATTGAAATTCCAGCCCACACGATCACTGAGCTACTCTGAGTTGAAAAGGTTGGCTCTGGGAAAAAAAGGCTTCTCCACACTCCTTAACGCCCATCCGGAGATCGTAGAGCAAATCTACACACAGCTGTAAAAAGTACAGCAGACCAATCGTCGAAAGTCCAAAGGCTGTGCTCTCGAGCAAATGCTAGCCGTGAAACTCTTTGTGTTTTGGTCAATTCTGGTCCTCTTACGGGGCGAAAAGCCATCAATCCGTACTGATTTAATCTTCTTCGAGCAGAGCTTTCAGAAATTTGGACACCTCGATTTTCCTGAAGCTGATAAATAGGTTGAACAACAGTAAAGTGCCGGTTTCGCAGAATTCTCAAATACAAAATCGGTCATCCTGTGCTTCTGTTACCCTAGGGCGCCCAGAACCGGGCCTTCTATGGTAGGACCCAGTTTCTCGAAAACGTCTTACGGCGTCTCGCAGTGTTTCGTAGGGAACTCCGATGGCAATAGCCGTACACCTGATGGAACGTCCATCATCAATAAGAGGCCACACCATGCGCAATATCCTCAGCACTAAGTGGAATTTTTAAGTTCAAAATTTGAAATTAAGCAAACAAAGGTGAAAATTAAACAGTATATTGCTTCAGAATTCAAATGTGACTGAACATTTTAAATTTCATTGAAATT